GGCCCATAAGAAGCCATTGATGTGTGGCCTCGGGGTGGCTGTTGGCTGCAGGATGAAGCATGCCAAGTCAGCGTTTTAAGGGTTTCCCAAAGCATGTAATTTTCATGTCCAAATGCCTGGAAGTCTTAACTGGAGGACGAAGCATAGGAAAATGTTTACGCGATGTGGCCTTGGGGCAGCTTGCTGGCTGCGAGATGGGTTTGACCTTGGAAAGCGAAGAAGGAGAAGTTCCACACCTGCGGTGGTCCCAGGCGCCGCCCCTGCCTTGGCCAAGGCCGGGTTCGGCGGATTTAACATAGCCATGGAAAATGGCCCATTTATAGATGGTTTACCTATTGAAAATGGTGATTTTCCATGGCTATGTCAAATAACCAGATGGTATATCCAAAGTTTGAAGTATTTGACCATGAAACTGGCCAAAAGCAACAACATCAGGGGATCGAATTAACCCAGGAACATTTGTGGCGACATTGTGGCTTAAAGGTGGGCGTTTGGCCGGACAAAACCATGGGAAAACCATGGGAAAACCATAGGAAAATGCGGGCAGTAAGTTTGTTGCTTCGAACTGTCATTTCGGTCATTCGCCCCGTGTTTGCTGCTCCTTTTCCAATCCTTCAATGGCCACTCCAGGAACCCAAATTTGAGGTATCCATGTATAAGGCCTATGTAAGGTCGATGTAAGGGGATATACACCCAAAATATTGCCTTATATGCTACAGTACCTCCATTTTAGGATCCTGGAGATCTCCCATTGATAAAATTTACTTGCTAAGTCTACGTCCAGGTGGCTCCGGCAGATGAGGAAAGCTCAGAACCCTGATGTGGCGATCGTTGGCTGTTGGAGATGTTGGAGAGGGAAATCACCACTGGGGATAAAAGGGGCATTAATAGCATAGTATGAAAATAGTATATCTAAACATTGATGATTATGGTTTTCCACCCCTGTTGCTGGTATCCATTTAGTGGTGATTCTGAAGGTGGGGAATAGAACCCAATGGTCGTGTGTATAGGGAAAGAACCGTGATAAATGTGATAAACCATCAAGTTTTGGGTACCCGACCTATTTTGAGATGAACCCGATTTTGATAATTTCGATTTGGGATGTTACCGGAATCTTTGACACCCTGATTCCTGATATCATTTTCTTAAATGCAGGGTAGATGAAACTCAGATTTGCAAAAAAGACACGGATATCACTCACCGTGGATGTAATTCTCATTTTGTGTCTTTTGATGGCTTCAGCTTGTGTCTGATCCTCCAAGAATATGAAGATGAAGGCATGATGAACGCTTCAAACAGTCACCGTCAAAATGGTAGCGCTTCGTCGTCCGCATGTGGCTTTGTGAAATCTTCCCTTAAATTCACCGCTGAAACATTCTATTTCCCATGTAAACATGGCCATTCATTGAGGATAAATCCATAGAAATCACACATTTTCTGGGAAACCCATCTGTTTTGGGACCTCTTTCCATTGCAACAAGGTGTCATTTTTTCTACCCAGGCTGAGTCAGGTCACCGTTTTTGCCTGGAATTTCCTCCAGAATCTCTGGACGCTTTACATCAAATTTCTACAAAAAGGTTGAAACAATGGTGGGATCGATGGGATTTAATGGGATCTATCCTCCTGTGTCAGCAAGCGTGGCTAGCTGGAAAAAAACCGAACTAAATGGAGGTTTCTTGCTGGGACCATCGAGTGTACGTGGCTGGAAAAAAACCGAACGAAATGGAGGTTTTAATGGGGCCGAGTGTGTGTGGTGGATTTTTCAGCGCCAGCTTTGATTAACCAAGGGTACTGAGGGTATGTTTCTCATGAGTTCTTCCATGGCCTTGGTTTGTTTCGGCATCTTGGAAGATCTTGGAAGTCTTCGGGAAACATCTTGGGTTTCTCAAACATTGCCGCAGCCCATCCTCCAAAATCTCTTTCAGCGATGCGATGCAAAGTAGCGCTTCGTTTCAGTTATGTGTCGGAGCCAGTGGCGAAAGCTGCGGGAAACGCCGTTTTGGGACACCGCACTTGAGACTGCATTCCCAGAACTTGAAATTGCAAGTCAGCCGGGTTCTTGGTTTAATCACTCCAGAAACGGTGGAAGCATTTGGGGTGACAATAGTCTCATAATTGGCAATGGTGGTAGATTGGGGGTGTGAAAACTGTTAGGAAGTTCACATTCGCCTTTTTCTTTGTGATGAACAAAATCTGAATGTATACGAATTTTAAAGCATGTGCAATGCAGGATGCGGATATCCCTAGTCCCTGGTTCCAGCTCACTTCTCGCCCTGTCGTGTGAGACAGGCTAGACCGCAACGCCAATGTGCGGCGCCATTAGTGCGCAACAGATCTTAGATGCAAAGAGGCGTCCAACGATGCTGGATTCAGTGACTGGTTGCGGTCTTTTCGGCTTTTCAAAGCAATGGGGTAACACATGATTTGGATTCTAGCAACCCCTTCCACTGACAAATTAGACATGCACCCAATAATTTCACCCTCGTATACTAATTCCCCAACAGCGTAAGCTAATGGGGTCTTCAGCCCCGAATTGCTCCGGAGAAGGTTCCGGAGAAGGTTCTGGAGAAGGTTCCGGAGAAGGTTCCGGAGAAGGTTCCGGGAGGCTTTGGTGCAGAGCCAGGTCAGGTTCAACAGGGTTCCGGAGAAGGTTCCGGAGAAGGTGTGGGAGGCTTTGGTGCAAAGCCAAGTCAAGTTCAACAGGGTTCCGGAGAAGGTTCCGGAGAAGGGTTTGGACAAGGTGTGGAAGGCTTTGGTGCAGAGCCTGGTTAGGTTCAACAGGCCAGGGTGTCCAAAAAGGTTCCAAAAAGGTTCCGGGAAACTTTGGTGCAGAGCCAGGTCAGGTTCCCGGAGAAGGTCTGGGAGGCTTTGGTGCAAAGCCAAGTCAGGTTCAACAGGGTTCCGGAGAAGGTTCCGGAGAAGGTGTGGGAGCCAGGTCAGGTTCAACAGGGTTCCCAAAAAGGTTCCGGAGAAGGTCTGGGAGGCTTTGGTGCAAAGCCAAGTCAAGTTCAACAGGGTTCCGGAGAAGGTTCCGGAGAAGGTTCCGGAGGAGGTTCCGGAGAAGGTGTGGGAGGCTTTGGTGCAGAACCAGGTCAGGTTCAACAGGGTTCCCAAAAAGGTTCCGGAGAAGGTGTGGGAGGCTTTGGTGCAGAGCCAGGTCAGGTTCAACAGGGTTTCGGAGAAGGTTTCGGAGAAGGTGTGGGAGGCTTTGGTGGAGAGCCAGGTCAGCTTCAACAGGATTTGCTGCCAAAACCCAGGTGAGGTGTTTCCAGCGCTTGGCTTCGCAGCACGCTCAGAAAGATTTGTAAAAATAAAAACATTGCGGTTGTTGGGGATACCACCGACGTTTCTGTTTTTGGGGTTTCATATGGGTAGTGAAGATTAGGGGGACCGGGGGGTCATGGGCCTAGATCGGGTGTTTGAAAATGGGGTATACCCTGCAACTTCGGCAATTTTCAGAAGGAACATCATATATATCATGATATCTCATGATTAAGTGGTGGATTTTGGCAATTTTTCGCCTTGCCCTTGACCAAAACCTCACCGCTGTGGGTCCAGCATTTCTCCTTACGCAAACAGTGCATCATCCCCCCGTGAAACTTGTGGGTTTCAGACCAGAGCCGTCAGACGTCGTCTTCCGCCGTCTGGGGAATCACTGGGGAACCAATGGGTATTGATGGAGGAGCAACTCTTTCTCAAGCAGCTTGATGTTCATATTGTTTCTAGTCGCCGTTTTTCAGTGATTATCCGCCAATTATCCATCACCGCTGATTGCAATCTGTAATTTAACTGTTTGCTATGGAAGCGGTGGGCTTTCGTCTGATTATTTACCTGTTGGAAAGGGTGATTCTCCATAGTAATGTTAAGTCGTCAGAGGGTATAGCCCCTCAAATACCTCAGTATTAGCCATTTTTAGCTACTACTATCCCATCAAGAACCATTAATACCGTTAATTCCTTTCCCAATACTAATATAATTTGCATCGTTACGTGCTCCATTTTTAGTTCGTTTTGTGCTGCCGGCAAGAACCGGGAATATGGATATCTGAGACTTGTAAGACTCATCATTGTACACCTATATAAATGTTTGTTGGCTGCTGGCCAATGAGTTATATCCAATTGAATTAAACGTGTATGGTAGCTGTAGTGAGAAGATGTCTCGACGCTCTTGGCAAATTGCACATGCCCCGCACAGCCTGCAAGCTGCAGGGGAGGAACAGTTTCATCGACGAACAAGTTGAAAACCGCTAACGAAAAAACGCAGCATTTTTGTTCCCGGAATCAAGAGGCGAGTGGTCTAGGAGCCCATTTTCATGAGGTTATTCATGGGTATAGCCATGGTACTAATCCCATCATTTGGGATATACCCCCATTAGTATGCTTCTGTATCCAGTTCTAACTGTAACTAATTATTTTGAATCCCCATAAGAAATATCTGTAAACTGGATAGTCAGATTCATATCTCGTTTAACCTCCATTTTCAATGGGACACGGTCCTAGTTTAGCTGGATGTACATCTTACTTCCTAAGTAGCCACACTCTTACATATATATGTTTTTTGAAACAAACTCCGCCAGCCAGAGTTATTCTCCAGTGCAGTTTGACCACAATGTAGCAATGTGCTTAATTTTCTTGGGAAGATAAAGCATTCGATGGAAACGGGCTTCCATCTCTTTACCATCCCCAAGATTCCTTGTTTCAAAGGGCATTGTTTAGAGCCTTTCTTGTTGACCACAAAATCCAACATTCACATTACCCATCAAATTCACATAGACCAGCTTAGATGGATCAGCATATAATCATACTTGATGTGATTTTTATACCATTACCATTATACAGATGGTCCATTTTACAACTATATAATCATGGTATATAATTATAATATGGTATATTCCCATGGTATAATATGGTATAGTACTATACTATGAAATTATTTTCATACAATTTCCCATGGATCTATGGATCAAACAACTGCCCCTTTCGACCCCTGCCACGATCGCCAGGCTGCGATGTCTTCATGAACCAAGGCATCGAGGGTGGCATCCTGGTGGGCAGCGAAGGCGCCGTTCAGAAAGTCGTAGATTTTGGATCGGGGGCGATGAATAAAAATGGGACTTAATGGGATTTTATGGTATTTTAGTGGGATTTAATGGGATATATATAGGTTACCCGCTGGTAAACGTTAACAAAAAGCTATTGAACATTGCCCAGTCGAAAATTAGTGGATTTTTACCCATTAAAAATGGTGATGTTCCATAGTTACGTTAGTTTACCAGAGGGTATAAATTTGTGAAAAAAAACCGACCTAGTTATAGTTGTAGCTACCATACACACCAAGTTATTGAACTAATAAACTAACTTAGCTGACTATGGGGCACCACCTTGCATGAAATCCCATTTATATGGGGGGTTCCAACTTATGGGAAAAACCAAATGGCTGGATGGTTTATTTCATGAATCCCAAAGAAAAATGGACGATTTCGGGGTACCGCCATGAATTGGAAACCCCCATATTGGGGCATGATTAGCTATGAAATAGTCGGGAAAATGCTGATTATCCGTGAAATACCGTAGATGGACGAAATATTCAAACCCCTTCTATCCGGTACAGCCCCCTCGCCCCCAAAGTTCAATGTTATTGTAAGTTGAAGTGCGTTAGCCCCAATGGACAAAAAAACCAAACCCCTAACATCACTTTTGCTAACACGCGCGCTGAAACATTGAGATTTGGGGGCGCGGGGGTTCAACATAGTGCGTGCTGCAGAGTTTGAATATTTTGTCCATCTACTGTCTCGTTCTCTGATGTTTTCACATCTTTTGGTCTCCAAACTCTGTTGCGGAAACATCAATGTGCATGATGCTGATCTTCTTCCAAACTGCGCAAAACATTGGCTTTTCAC